TTTCCTGCTACCATGCGAACATTCCTTAGGAAAGCGTGTCATTATTGTAGCACTTATCACTCTCGTTTTTGTCTAATCCTATCAAGTGACTATGAGAATGTTCGATGTTGCGTAACTAAAGTTGACTTTGTTGTTTCACCTAAGTGTTACAGCTAACCATTTTTGGTTTTACATATTTCCGTCAAGATAACCTCATAGTTATCCGAACTGAANGGTCTTTTATTCAACTAGATTGATTAGGACAGAACGAGATGAGTCAACGTCAGTTTGGAACGGGGTGAATGCCACAATTTAGCTTTAATCAATCTCATTCATTTAAATATATGACAGGAGGCTATGTACCCCCTCACACACACATACACACACACGTACACACCTACGAACCTTTGTTTCATGCTTAAAAGTGGTCATAATCTATTAGTATCTATTGAACACTCAGTTCACAGGGACTAATTCTTTTGAGTGATGCAGATGTAAACATTTCATATTCGTCTCTCCCCTTATAGCCGTGTACCATAACTAAATAGAAATGGACTAGGGAATTTGGATATGCTTGGAGGGGAGGAGCATGAGACCGTGTGGCAGTGTGTGTATGGGGGGAAGGGTACCTGAACTGTAACAAATCCAGCGAAACCACAGACCTTCGCATCGCATAAAATGAACAGTACTAACATAGAAACAACAATGTCACTGATTGTTCCGCTAATTTCCCAATTTGGACGTGCAGAGATCACATCATTTTGCTGTCAGCCCGATGCCTGACGTTACATTCCATTCCCTTGTTGTCACATGTACAAATATGTCCAAATAAATTTCGATCATTAAGCCTTACTGAAAGCATAAACACGGGGCTCCGTGTAAATCAGGACTACCGTGTGAATGAATGTACTGCTGTAAAAAATAACTTGTGGTTAACAGTGAGATAAAAAATCAACCTTATCCGTTTGCTCAATTTGTGCGAAAAATATAACACTCCAGTCAGATCAAAATGTTTCTTTTTTCTTTTTCATTTTTACTTCGTTTTATTGAATACACAATGATACAATTTCCAGGAAGGGGGAAGCGGCCAATCAAACGGCTGCCATACAACAAACAAATGGGGAAATTCAGGCGGTGGTGGTGGGGTTCGAACACACGTCCCCCGAGGTGGTAATTTGGTGACGTTACCACCAGGCCACATTTATGCTTACTTATGAATGGGTGTACGATTAGCTGCGAGTCAGAACAACCATCCATAGACTGATACACCGAAGTGTCAGCTTCTCCGTACCGGTCAGGGGATAGGTGATGCGCTGAATTCGAAAAATTCGACTGATCACTTTCGTCGCCTAAACTGATGTGTCCACCCAGTTGGACTTTGGTCCGTACTTGACTCATCTTTTACCATTAAACTGAATTCAACGATTTCCTGTCTCTCACACACATTTACATTTACACCACACCTGATAGTATAAGTATAGTTGTCGTTCAGACAAACGGATTCTGTTCTTTGCAAAAGAAACGAATGTGTTTGATAAAGATTTCGAGGATACTGAACTTTCGCAGTAGCAGTCGTATCTCACACATGGGATAATTCATTAGATTTTCCAGTTCAGTCGAAATTAATAACGTCGATCGATGAATTTGAACCACACGAGGGAGAGAAACTCGTACTCAAGGCCACGAAAGCTTCTGAATCGCCCAGTCTCGGTCATTTGTGCTCATTGGGGGTTGTGAATTTGGAAAATCCGCCACACCGTATCGAACTGGTCAATCACCGTGCGTGGTGTGACGTGACCTTGACAGTCATTTTCATATCCCTCTGTCACTATGACTGATTGCTTTCTCTCCAATTAAATGGTGGTCGAAGAGCAACAAGATGTTGTACGTCATATGATCTGATAAACCATGTTCAACTCAGAGAAAATTTTGCATACCCATGGATTGACGAATAGAACAAATTTAAGACAACATTTACAAGTTCGAATTCTGATCTCGAACACAGTACATGGATTAAATAAATGGGGTTTTCTTAGATCAATGCAGAGAAAACAAGATAACGACAGCCAGCATTGACTTTGACGTGCAAGGTCATCTGTGACTATTCAGTAGATAAGACACTCCAAATATCTGATTTACTTTAAAGTAAACTTGATTGATTTCAGATAGTTATGCCATTAGAATCCAATGATCTCCCTGCAGTTTGGGTTACTTTTCTACGTTTGAGATGCATCCAGCAAAAATCGAACAATATAATTATCAAATACGCGTTGTTTCTTTGTATGCATGGGTGTGGGATAGATAGCATTGATCTTCGTCACATGGTTTTGTATGACTGCATTGGATGTGGCTCGTTAGTGCCCTGTTTCACAACCCCATTTCTGGTGTACTTATTTGCGAAGACCCCAAAATGTTTCGTCCTTTTGGGGACTCATTAGTAGTGCCATCTACTGCTTTGTATCCCGGTCGGTGCTCAAACCATGAACCTCCGAGTTGTCAAATGGAGCTCTTACCCCTGACCTGCTCGGTCGATTGGCATACACCTTCAGCGAACGGGTACAGGTTTGAAATGATATTCTCGGGTTAGCTAATTTATTTTCGGAAGGCTCCAAACACTGCATATTTGTTATTATCTTGTCGGCGATCAAACAAATGCTTACGTCGTACATGTAATACATTCAATTTATGAGGAATAAAATAAAGGGTTAAAACCTCGATCCTCGAAAATACATGACAGTTATAGGCTAATGCCTAATGTGCTTAAAAATTGAACCAGCTAACCCTAGCTGTATAATACTGTGAAATAAAGCATCAATTTTGTCTTACCAAACTCGAATCACGTTTATTTGTCCAGTTCTCTTTCGGGCTTACAGGTGTCCCGCTTCTTTAAGCCAAGCCGAGATATGCTGATCAGAATTGGGACATTGAGATAACTTACCACGGGACGGTCATGGAACGCGCCGCAGGCAGATCCTGATTCAATTCACTAAATTCGGCATTTTTCATCCATGCTATATGCATTGATCGTGGTTTTCATTCCATGTCAGTCCATCAATCAGCAAATTGACTGTCACGTGATGAGTGTCAATATGTTTTTTGTTTGATTAATTGATGAGTACAAACGTGATAAACATTGGAATAACCTGAAAAAGCATCGTTTACAAAAAGTCTCTAAACCCCAACAAATCGAATGAACAATACCCGGGTTCTCCTTTAAAACAACGGCTCGGTACAAGTTAGATCTTTCCTATCTACCTAATGGTCTTTCAAAGAATGACACCTGTGATCGTTTCTTTTCTTCTGGTTTTAAATTCATATGCACATGTGCCCGATGATCACAGTGTCCACTGGGGTCAACAATGATGGACGTATTTGACCACGGGATGAGCAATTTGGGAGTATGCGGTAAAAATTGTC